ACACCGCTCATGGAATCAGCAATTCCAATGATAATATTATTTTTGAAGGTTATTTTACACGTTAGTACACTATTCAATATCCAAACAGCCCAACATGCTTTTCTTCAGCAATAAATCCCTTAACTATTGATTTGATCTTTACTATTTCATGTCAACTTTGTAGTCAATTTTTACCCATTCTGACGTTGGATCTGATCATCTTTTAGTAGCTTTTTAAATATCCAAGAAACATTTTTTTCTCCTAACAGCTGCTCCACTTTCAATTACCATAGAGATAATTGGGAGCGATATCGGACATTTATGGACTATAACTTCAAACAAAATATTCCTTTGCAAACCAAGGGGAAGTTAATTATGCTCATGAATCTCTGACTACTTCTATAGTTGAAGCAAGAGCTGCCTCAGTACCAACATGCGTGGTAAAATTCTATTCAATCATAATAGACGAGGATTTTCAGCTCTTGATCCGTCTGAAAAATGTCCGTAGGAGACAATATCAAAGAATACTTGATCCAGCCATGAATGTTATCTGGAAGGATTTACAATAACAAATTAAAAAGCGATTCTCTGCCGTGAGGAACAAAACTTTTGAAAATAATGTTTCGAAATTATACCCGAGTTCCAAACCTCTTTGGAAGCTCTCAAAAAACCTATTCCAGTGCTAAAATTTTGATCACACATTCAGAAAAAGCTCAAAAACTTGCTAAGCTATTCGGGGAAAGATTTGTACGAAGTAAGATCTATAACTAATAAGTTTCATAAATCTATTTTACAGATGTTTCCATTTGGCATACTTTCCTGATGAATGGAAAAATACAAAAGTTTTTCCAATTTTGAAGCCGGATAAAAGTCCAGCTGAAGCTTCTAGCTACCGACCAATAAATTGGCTTTCTGCAATAAGTAAACTTTTTGAAAAGATAATTTTAAGTAGAATGATGCTTCATATCAAAACGAACACAATTATTGCAGATGAGCAATTTGGATTTTGCCGTGGGCATTCACCTACTCATCAAATCTTAAGAGTTACAAATTTAATTCGTTCAAACAAATCTGAAGGCTGTTCAACTGGAGTTGCTCTTCTAGACATATAAAAAGCATTCAACAGTGTATGGCATGAAGCTTTGATTGCTAAATAAAAAAGGTTTAATTTTCCACTCTATATTATGAAATTAGTCCATAATTACACATCTGCTAGAGCTTTGTAGGTAAATTAACAAAATTCCAAATCTGTCCATACCTGTTAAAGCAGGAGTTCCTCAGGATAGCATTCATGGGCCTATATTGTATAACATTTTCATTCCGGACCTCCCTGATTTGCCTCAGGGTTGCCACAAATCTTTGTTCGCCGATGAAACAGGTATTTCCGCTAAAAGAAGAAGTCCTCGTGCTATTTGCAGCAGACTGCAAAAAGGTTTAGATATTTAATCTTCTTATTTACAAAAATGGAAGATATCTTCCAATGCCTAAAAAACTCAGCTTGTAATATGCCCACATAAGACTAGAGTTTCAGAGGCGAACTAGCCTTTAGTTTGAAAACCTCTTAAATAAAGAAACAAACAAAAAATCCTTTTTGAAACCTAGTAGTAGTCATACAGTCATTATGAACGGAGTTCCAATTTCTTGGTTAAGTCCAATCTTGGATTAGTACTTGACCAAAAATTAAAAAGATCACATGCCAAATGTAACAAATATATAAAATGTTTGTATCCTCTTATAAACAGGAAATCCAAACTTTCCTGACGAATAAACTTCTAATATTTAAACAAGTTTTTAGACCGGCCATGCTTTACGCTGTGCCAATATGGTCTAGTTGTTGCACTACCAGGAAAATAGCACTTCAAAGGATTCAGAACAAAGTTCTGAAAATGATTTTAAAGTTGCCTCCCTGGTACAGTACTACCGAAGTACATAGAATTTCGAATGTTGAGACTTTAGCACAAATGTCCAACAAAATAATTAATAATTTCCGGCAAAAATCGTTACAATCCTCAATTGCAACGATTAATTCCCTTTATACTAAGATAAGAGTTAATTTCAATTTTTAGTTTTAAGATTTCAATTGTTAAACTGATATGCAGTTTCAAAAAACCTGTTCAAAATACTGAATTACCAAGGCAGGAACAATGTAAAAACACTTAGATATATATCATAACAATTAAGTTACTGTAGTAACTGGAGCACCTAGGCTAAAATGAAATGTAATTTATTTTGAATTTGGAACACATAAAGTGTTAAAAAAAATTTCACCCAATCGAGAAATATTGGGCAATTTGTCATACGAAAGTTGAAGAAAACTGTCAAGGTGACTCGCAATACTGCAGAGATGGCTAGATGACGAAAAAAAAAACTGGTTCCTGAGGTTCATCAGCAGTGTGTGCAACTGATGATGGCAGACAAAGAAAGTTCGCGATGGTATGAAATCCATCGCAATATATTTGTGATATTTTTTATGGACGTTTTTTGAAACAGCATGACTAGTTATCTTTTTGCATCCCTGATTTGTAACATCTGGATTCAAACTAAACATCATTTTAGAATAAGCAGTAATATCTTGCCTGTATAGAGAGATAAAATAAAACATCTTTCAAACATTGATGATGTAGGGAAAATGGCTCTAATGTTGGCCTATGGATCTAAGATTGGGCCCAACGCTAAGAATCCGCTGTTTATCAATTTTATCTAGATGAACGCGTCATTGAGACGGATTAATAGATATTTTCAGAAGCTATTGAAAATTTAGTCAATTACTAAATTTATGTATGGGCCCAAATTAGGGGCATTTAGGCCGACATTACATCCTTTTTCCCCTATCAACCCAGTTTATTTACCATTTTCGATGTTAGATCGATTGACGATTTCACTAGCTTGTACTCAGAATGTGAGTAGAAATTAACAATTTTATTGGTAGCTCCACTCTTTTGGATTTCAGGTTATAATCCTCGTACACCTACAACAACAAAAACTCTGTTCTACTATTTGTGAAGGAATACAACTTCCTTGAAACTAAGGTTTGTGACATCCATTAGAAGATTTAATAGCATGTTTACAAACATACAATATAACAAAGCACAGCGGTCGCTATCCGGATTACCTCAAGTGCAGCATCAAGTTACGACAGTTTCCTGTGTACTCATCCAAAATGGTCCAGATTTCCAACGCATCAAACGACGTCATTTGCGCCAAACCAACAAGCAAAACGAACATTTACTTGCAGGGATTTAATTGTTCACATTATCACAACAGTTTCAAGTGGCTTGTTCAAAGTTCGATTCAAAATGCTCGCCAACAATGGCCTTACAAGTTTGTTTTTGAAATCCATTTCGATTCCCATCGCTCGGTGGTGCTGTGCCGGTGATGCTGATGATGACGATGAAATCTCTTCATAAAAGAAGGACCCTCGACGACGGGTGGTAGAACGACAACCAAATGCCGAATAAATTGGCACCCTCAAGCTCCCTTCGATTGGGTCACATCCTTTATGTGCTGCACAAACGCTGATTTCCGAGGGGGTGGTCATCCGATCGGTGTGTGGCGAGAAATAAACATAATTACAAGGTCGTCACACGGTGAGCACTCTGCATTAATGCAATTCTGATCGCACTCGAATTACAACCGTTGGCTATTGAATTGCGTTCCTCCGGGTGAGAAGCTTCCGGGACTGCGGAGTGGGTGAAATCGATAATCGATATCGATTTTCGTGCGTGTCGCTTCTCTTCATTGTTCGACCTAATGGCCGCACTCATCGTGATGAGAATGCATTGTTGGTCGCTGCCAGTTCTGGGAATTTACCTCCTCCGAAACCGAGATCTGAATCAATGACGCAGCGCAACCGAAGGAATCCCTCAAATGTTTGCGCAAACTGAATCGATCTGTTCCTTTGTAGGAGAAAGCGCGTAAGCCTACCAAATCCCCTTGTACAAACAGCGCGCGAATGCAGTCAGCAGGAACGAATCATTACGGACGGGTGCTAGCAGATGACGAAAATGGCTCCGGAGAGAGCGGGGCGCAGATCTTCGCAGCATGCGTGCCAGGATCAACATAAACCGGAGCCGGTCCGGAGAAGAGGGTTGTCAAGCAGCGCAGCGCAGTGCAGCGTTTGAATCCGGAGGGGGAAGTTTTGCTTTGAGCGCGTGCGACCCTCATGTTCAATTACCGCTGCATTGTGTGTTTGTTGCATGTTATCGGGCTAATCATGGCACTGTGTGGCACATGGAAGAGGTCGTAGAACGACTCTCCCCATTGAGACACAAGTATATTATAACTACACAGGAAATGCGCAGTTCGGGATGGGACTAGAGCGTAGCACGGGCGATTACTGTGACAATTTTTATGTTTAAAAAATGTATCCTCTGTGGATCGCATCCGACTCATTGATTTATGGAAATGGATTGGACGGATGAACGGTTGCAACCCCTAGGAGGGTAGCTGTGAGGTTCTTCAGTGCAAGTACACCGGGGGAAAAGTCATAAACAACTCGGAGAAGGCAACGCTGTAGATACAAGTGATTGATACCATCGTTAAAAGTAACTTGTTCCTATATATGTTACATACTGTGGCGATTAACAATATCTTCTTTAAACTCTAGATTAAAGGAAAATTAGCGAGTTCAAATTAACTCTTCTTGTGGTAGATATACAATAATTCCAGGAACTTTTAATGGCTATTTTTACTCCTAGCTAAAGTCGCTCCGCTCTTCACATTTGCTTTGCTGATCCTAGACTTAACCCGATGTAAAATATTACGTCAACTTATTCCATTCGCGACTGCTTGTTCCACTTTTCCAGGATCTTGCGCCATTTGGTCTTACCAAATAGATCACTGGGCTTCTCTAACGCGTCCCTTCCATCTTTGGTTACTTTCTGCAAGCTTGGTCCGTCAAAAGATGGTCCCACTTACGACCGCAGCACATAAATTGTTTGACTGAGAAGCAACAGATTTGAATCGTTTCGTTTACAGTTTTTTGTTTGGGTGAAAAAGTTAAATAAAGTATCATTACTCCCATTCAATTTCTTTAAACTGTTTCATTTATTAAATTTTTTTTTATTCCAAACAAATAAAGCATCTACAGATCAGTAATCCTTTGAATCCACGATCCGTAGTACGAAACATTCACAAATCCACCATACCCATCCGTTCTGCACAACCCGTCACTTCCCGGCCGGGATTCGCTGAACGAAATAATTCCACCAACAAACCAGATATTGTTGCGCTGGAAAAACAACCCACCCCCGCTGTCACCGTTACAGACACTCGTTCCGTTGCTGTAACCGGCGCAGAAGACACCATAATTCAATGTATTCGCAAAAAAACTGCGACTACTCATCAAACAGGGTAGCGTTGAAATAACTGGCATTGGGGCACTTTGAAGAATGCTGGAAACACTGTCATCGCTTCTCAAGCCCCAACCAACAGCAGTGCCGTATTCTCCCACGAAGTCCCCTTGCCGATCAACGCACACCGGATGCACGCAGGAGTTCAGCTCGGCTGGCTCAGTTAACCGGAGCAAAGCAATATCATCCACCAGCCGTGAGAAATTTTCGAACTTGAAGATTTCCTGCACCGACCGCTCTTGCGATTCCGGATCCACATTGTTCAAATCGAACACACCCAGTTTGACAAGTATCTGTTCCGTTAGAAGCTTGTTTCTTGTGCTCGAGTCTATCACGCAGTGAGATGCCGTCAGGATAAAGGTACTACTAATCAGCGTCCCTCCGCATGCATACAGTGATTCTTCGGCAAGCTTGTGATAGACGGCCACATGCCAAGGCCAATCCCCTCGGGTAGCATCGTGGCCATGGACAATCAACTCAACGTTTCTCCTCTGTCGTAGGCCACACTGAAAGGGAAGCTGAAAAGATTGATCGAATTAGCATTCAAACATTGGAATGATCGTACTTCAAACTCTAACCTGCTTCGCCGAACATCCTTCAATAAAAGTTAGATTTGTCTTCGATTTACTACATGCGCCAATGAAGTTTATATCCCTATCGGCATTATCGATTTCTTCAGTTATCATTTTAAGCCAACCGCAATGCAGAGGGTTTTTCACGAGCAGTATATAATCTACGATTGGAAGCTTTTGAAGAATGTCCACTACGTACGAGAGATTGTTTCCAGCTAGAGAAATCTTCCTTAGATGCGGCAGGTTCCAAGAGCAAATGTTTAGATCTGAAAGATCGTTGTAACTGAAGTCAAGACCGGTAAGTTTGGGTAAGCTTATTTCATAGTTCGTAGAAACGGTTCGAATCTGGTTCGAACTGATAACGAGCACCTGGAGCATATTTAGACTGTTCAGAATATCCATTTCAACGAATTCAATTTGATTTCTCGACAAATCAAGTGATTGCAATCTACTCAGCCGCCCGACATTTCGAGGAAGAGCTTTCAGCTTGCAACCGGATACTTCCAGGTCAACCAATTGATAGTCATCAGCTACGTTGATAAGAATCTCACTTGTCCCAGTAGCAGTTAAGGCAAATTCTTTCAGGCTTGGTTTCACGTAGGCTTTGTCGATACGGCCGGAAAGAAAGGCCAATCCTTCCAACTTGGTGAAGTGGTTCAAGTCCTCCGCTGAGAGATGCTTTGTTCGGATTCTATAAAATTCCAGCCAATGATCGGTTGTGAACCGGGAGAAGTCACTAGAGTTCTCGGGCCACGTATAAACACTGTAGAGAATGACCGATCTTCTCGCTAGGCAAAGCAGAGGAATCGTGAGCAAGGAAAATCTGAAGAAGGAATTCTAAAGTAGGTCAATGTTAATAAAAATTAGGCTTGAAATTTGAATACTTACAACATACATCCGCAGCATTTCATAGTTCCAGTTCAACTTCAAAACAAACTCAAACAAGGCAAAGTAGAGAATTGACGCTATCAATGAGTCGGTAAGAAGACTGATTAGGCTACGCAAAACAACGCCCGCCTAACGATTTGATTTCTCTGGATCTGCAGCAGAAGCGAAACAGTTCCTATAAATTTATGTTGAATTATTATTATCAGCTATTTAAATTGCATTGCATTGCATTAAGAACGTGTACCAGTGCCGTATTAACGATAGGGTGATGGTGGGCTAAAACCAGAGCCCCCATTTTGGAGGGAGCCTCCGGCTCAGAGACATCATATGAATCATATGAAATTACTCATTGCTTAGTTTCGCATTTGTTTAGTGTTTGGTGATTGCTTTGAAACTTGAAAAAAATAACCATACCTGGTGATAACATGAAAAGAAAAATAAAAACGTCAAAATGAGGCACATTGAATCAATAGAAAATGAATTGCTCCATAACTCGGTAAGGAATGATTTTTCGACCTACCTTGCCGTACAATGTTTTGCAAATTTGGTCTACTTTCACTTCCTTCCGGGTGTTTTTTTTTCTTTTTTTTTATACAGGGGGAATCTGCTCACAGACACCTGAGAAGGAACTCAGGGTGTGGGGATAAGAGAATTTCACTCCCGACCCATTAAACCTTACCCTGTGCACTTGGCCCTTGACCTCCCCGGAACTGCCCGAAGGCATTACTTCGTAGGAGGGGCCGCTATAGCGCTATGGCGCTTCTCTAGCAATACTCTATCGATCTAGTCGGGCAGTAGGCAACTGCTGCTCGGCACGCCACTGTTGTTGTAGTTCCGAAACTATGTGGGTGACCGCAGTCACCACCGCGCTCCAGTTCTCGGTGGTACCACACATCCTAGGGACTGGTATCTGCTCCACATATCGCTAGCATAGCGCTCGATACTGGCTCGAAGCGTGGACAGGCGAACACAACGTGTTCGGCGGTCTTTTCGACGCCAGCACACGTGGGGCAGATGGGAGTACTTGCATGTCCGAACCTATGCAAGTAGCTCCTAAAGCAGCCATGGCCTGACAGGAACTGTGTCAGGTGGAAGTTTCCTTCCCCGTGGCGCCTGTTGACCCAGCTTGATACGGAAGGTATCAAGCGGTAAGTCCACCTCCCCTTTGTGGAGTTTTCCCACTCCGACTGCCATCTCGCAGTCGACACCGCTCGCGCGTTGTTGCGCACCCCTCGAACGGTCCTCGCGTCATAGCACACCACGTCCTCCTTAATGATGAGGCTGATTGGCATCATCCCTGCTATAACGCAGACGGCCCCCCTCGAGATAGTGCGGTATGCACTGGCCACCCTCAAGCACATTAGCCTGTGTGTACTCTCTAATTTCCGCCTGTGACAGTCAATATCTAGTACCGCAGCCCACGTAGGGCCGCCGTATCTGAGGATAGATACTACGACCCCAGCGAGGAGCCTACGCTTACTGGCATTCACTGCCGAGCTGTTTGACATCATGCGGGATAATGCCCCCACAGCCGTAGACGCTATCTTGCAGGCGTACTCGACGTGGCAGCCGAAGCTGAGCTTATCATCGAGCATAACCCCCAAGAGTTTCAGAGAGCGCACATACCTAATTGTGCTTCCGCCGACTGTCAACGTCGCATGCTGTACCGACATGCGATTGTTGACTACGACCACTTCCGTCTTGTGATGTGCAAACTCCAGTTTCCTGGATCTCATCCATTCCTGCACAAGCTTGACGCAGTGAGTCGCTGTCAGCTCTACCTTCTCGAGGGATTCCCTGTAGACTACCAGCGTGACATCGTCGGCAAAACCTACAATTTTCACGCCTACCGGGAATCTTATCCTCAACAATCCATCGTACATGACTCCTGCGGTGACTCTTACGCATTTTTCGCCATCTTCTGTGTCGTACGTCAACACACGATTCTGGAAGTAGCTTTCCGGAATCTTGTACAGCCCTCCGGGATTTTGGAGCTGGTGTAGCGAGCAGGCTATCGCCCCCAGCACGCGCTGTTGAACGCGTTCTTCACATCTAAGGTTACCACCGCACAGTAACGAATGCCCCTTCGTTTCCGGTGGACCATCTCTGCCGTCTGGATGACGTCGCGGATGGCGTCCACCGTGGATCTGCCCTTACGGAACCCGTACTGGCTGCTTGACCGTCTACACCTTCAGTGTAAGCCGACAACATGTTGAGGATGACCCTCTCAAGCAGTTTACCAGTGGTGTCCAGCAAACAAATGGGCCTGTATGCTGAAGGGGTCCCCAGGGGGTTTTCCTGGCTTCGGGAGCAGCACCAGCCTCTGCCGCTTCCACGCATCTGGGAAGATGCCTACGTCCAGACAGGTCTGAAAAGCAGAACGGAACATGCCACAACCGGGATCCCATCTGGGCCACCAGCGACTTGGCAATATCGCTAAGTTCTCTGTTCGTCACTCTAGACACTTCTCCCTGATCCACGACTGGGATCCGTGGCCAGGAGTCTACGTCCCTAAGTGGAAACAAGAACCCAACGATAGACGCCAGCATCGCCGGCGATCTCTCCGGGGGTGCCGCCACGCCGCGGCATCCCCCCATGGATTCGTTTTGGCGCTTTGGCATAAGCTGTCAAAGCACGCGCGCTTGCGTCTGGCGATCTGTTTATTGAGGGCCGCCTTAGCCGCTCGAAGAGCGACACGGCGTTCCTCCCGAGATTCAGTCGTACGAGCTCGTTGCATCTCGCCTGGAGGCAAGACGCCCTGAGGATAGCAAGCGACTCGCTCCACCAGTACACCGGTCTATGGCCATGCCTGGGATAGGCTCTCCGCCATTCGGGTGTAACACCGATTACCAGTCACCCTGTATATTACGTAGATAGGTGAGAGTCTAGGATTACTATATTTTGTTGTTGGAATAAGATAGAGCAATCCGTTTCTTGCATGCAGATCTTGAAACACGAACCACTCACGTTGGTGAAGATTGTGATCTGCATTGAACTGTTTTCTGTAATGTTTACATTCGGATAATTTTTTAACTAAGGGTGTGTTTTTTTCCACTGTACATGACTAGAAAGTCATCTCATTTGATTTCAATAAGCCAAAACTGGGAGCTAGAATATGATGAGTTCTACAAACTAATTATTGGCATATGGAATGAACCCAAGTAGTATTGCAAGTTTGATATTTGGAAAATTGGTTTTCCCAAATGTTTCCCAAGATTAAAATGAGTGAAGTTGCTAAGTTGTTCCGAAGGCCAAGGGCATCTGAAAGGGAGACAGTTTGGTTAGGAATTCAGTCGCTGCGTAGCGCTATTATGCATTACAATAAAGAATTTTTAGATTTATTTTATCTCGTGATCGCGACAACCTAGGAAGTTTGAGTCTTCATAAGTAGTTCAGAAAACCAAAGGCGTTCAAAATGTTGACATTGGTTCGGATTTCTATCACTACGTGGTGCTAGTGTGCATGAATAATTGATTCCGAACTTTCTGAAATGATTGAAACTTTTCTGAAGTGGTTCAGTGCTTACGGAAGTGATTTAAATCTTTTATTAATTGAATCAGTACTTTCCGGAGCAGTTCCAGCTTTACTGATGTGATTTAGTACTTTCCGAAGTGATACCGAACTTTACTGAAAGTATTCAGTACTAGCTGAAGTGATTCCAAACTTTTCATAAATGATTCCGTTCTTTTCGAAATTATTCAGCACTCGCGGAAGTGATAACTCATTTTTTTGGACTGTTTCAATACTTTCCCAAATGATTTTCAAATTTCTAAAACAATTCAGTGCTTTCCGAAGTGATTCCGAACATTTTTTGTAGCGATTCAGTAATTTTTTTCAGTGATTCCAAACTTGTATGAAGCGATTCAGCACTGTTTGAAGTGTTACCGATTTTTCTGAATAAGTTTCTTAATTGATTTCAAGTTTTTCTGAGATGATTCAGTACTTTTTGAAGTGATTCAGTAATTTCTGAAGTGATTCAGAACTTGCAGTAGTAATTTAAAACTATTTTGAATTGAGTATGTACTTTTCGGAGTAATTACAAAATTGTATGAAGTGATTCAGTACCTTCCGAAGTGAATCCAATCTTTTTTGAAGGTACACAATGATTCCAAACTCTTTTTAAATGATTCAGTGCATGCCAAAGTGATGCAGTACTTGTGGAAGTGATAACAAACTTTTTTGGAATAATTCAATACTTTCCAAAGTGATTCCAAAATTTCTAAACTAATTCAGTACTACCGGAGTGCTTCTGAACTTTTCTGAAGTGATTCTGAACTTTTCTGAAGTGATTCAGAACTTTCTGAACTGATTCCAAAATTTTCTAAAGTAATTCATTTCCATTAGAAGTGAATCAGTACTTGCGGAAGTAATTTCAAACTCTTCAGAAAATTCTGAAATAATTCCAATCTTTTCCGAAGTGACTCCAAACATTTCTGAAGAGATTCAGCACTTTCAGAAGTGATTTTAAACTTTGCTGAATCGTTTAGCGGCGCCGGTGGTGTAGTGGTAATCGTGATTACCTGTCACCCCAGTAGGCCTGGGTTCAATCCCAGTCGGAGCCGCCGGGATGTTCTGAAGCATAACATTTCTGATCAGGCCTAAGGGAAGTAAAGCCGTTGGTCTTTGGTTCATGAATTGATGGGCCGATAGGTAGGGTCCAGGTGTGGGAACTCAGCACGGAAAACAAGATCGACGGAAAACAAATCAAGGAAAAATAAATAAAAATTTGTTTAATCGTTTCAACACTTTCTGAAGTTATTAAAAACTCTTCTGAAGTGAATCAGTGCTTTCTGAAAAGATTGGAATCGTTCCTAAATTGATTCAGTACTTTATGAAGCTGTTCCAAACTATCCAGAAGTGATTCATTACTTTCATAAGTGATTCCAAACTTTTCTGAAGTGATTCAGTACTTTTTAAGTGATTTCAAACTTGTATGAAGCGATGCAGTACTGTTTGAAGTGTTTCCGATTTCTTTCTGAAGAGATTCCGAACTTTCTGAAATTATTCTTAATTTTTCATAAATGACTAGGGTAAATGTTGGCTTCAGCACTCATTGACTCTTTTTGGCATCCAAAATTTAAACATTAATTTCACTATGTTTTCCCATCAACACACTTCCCTGAATGTATCCAAACGATTCTTTAGTCTTTCAT